GGCACATAACAACAACAACAACAACATCAGAACATTTAGAAGTTGTGACTCACACTATCTGTCTAATGGACAGCTGCTCTGGTGCTTCCCATCCCACTCAGAGTAAAACTCAGATCTCTTACTATGGTCTGTAGGGCCAGTTACAATCTCTCATCCATGACCACTCTTCCATCTTGCTTGCTTCTCTCTGGACCTTCTTGTTTTTTCTCAGACATACCAAACTCATGGCCCTGCCTCAGGGCCTTTGCATCTGTTGTTCCCTCTGACTAGAATTCCTATACGCTCATCATTGAGCTTTTCTTCCTTATTTCATTCAGATTTCTTCTCAGCCTTCCCTGACTACCTTGCATCCATCTCTCTCCTTTTATTCTCTGTTTGTATTCTTCCTAGCCTTTATTGATACCTGAAAGTATATTTTTATTTTTTTCACTTGTTTTATTTACTTGTTCATAGTCTGATTATAAGCCCCACTAGAATATAAGGGCACGGTGTATGTCTTGTTCATTATCTCTTTACTCTCAGCACCTAGAATAGAGTCTAAGTTACATGTTTTCAAAAAAGAGCAAAGTTGGACAAGACATTTAATGGCATATTTGAATATCACATGGCATACATGCTATCATGACATAAAACATGTTAGGAAAAAAATGTTGAGAGCCACCATTTTAATCTACTCTTTCAAAAAGTGAATAAACAACTATATTATCTGTTTGCCCAAAGAGGATCTATTTGCATGAGACCCTCCTGTCTTAGTCCTCAAGTATATTTTTAGCTTCCATTTTATGTTAAGCATCTGGTTCCCAAGCTCCAGGACTAGCTCTGCCAGGGTGAAGTGGCTTGTTCCTTTTCTCCTTAGCGTAACAGAGCCACATTTCATGAAGATGTTCTTTGCTGTATTTCTGAAGCCCAGAGATATCTCACCATGTCTCTTGCCTCATGTTCAGTATACTCATTCCCAAAGGCATGGCAGCCAAGAAAGTGGACAGCATTTAACTTTTTTTGAAAAAAAAAAAAAAAATTCTTGCTATATCATAGATTTATTAGTGAATTCAGAAGGCCAAATGAATAAGGTGTTCAAAAAAATAAATCCTGCATATGTCAGTTGCTATGTATCACCTTAATAGTTACAACTTTTAACCAAGCTATGCTGTTTCTCTTCACTAGAGTTTACAAGGCTTCTTTTCAGACTGCACATCATTCAATATTTTGATGGACATGTTATTTATCAAAGGCAAATATAAAAGTAAGTACTACAGTGCATATTTGTTAGAAATTCTCCTATCTTTGCTGACATAATAATTAGGAAGAAAGAAAAATGAGCCATAAAGAAACATTCCTTATATTTCTGATGAGTGGCTGAGTTATAGAGACCTCATTCTTTAAGTGTGAAAACATGATTGCATTGTATGACAAGCCTTAAACTAAACATGCCAGATTTTGCTTGGGCTGGAATTATAGGAGCTTTTAAAATATTAGTTCATGTGCATGATCTGAATATTTATTTTGAAATTTAGTTAATGACTAAACAACTTTGACAAATAGCTTTTATTGTGCCGAAATACACTTCGTAGTTGATGGTACCGAGCAGATTAGAACTCTGGGGCCAGCAATAGAGGACTCTGAACTTGCTCCAGCTTATTTAATGCTGCCAACCCATTCCTGACTTTTGGCAGGTGCATTGGAAGTACTGATAGAAATGAAAAACCAAGATGTGAAATTCAGCAAAGATACCTATGTCCTTGCTTTTGCAATTTGCTACAAACTGGTAAGACTATGGCCTCTTAACTTTCAGAGCATTGTGGGTAGTGTTTGAGACAGAATTTTTTTTCCCCTCTACAAATAAAATTGAGTTACTGTAAGATCTGTTTTCCATCTGTTGTAAATGTTTTAATTTTAAATGCATTCATTTTTAGAAAACTTAAGTTAGCCATGTCAGACGGTTTTGTCATGGGAAAAGCGATTTTGTATTCTTGTACAAAATTTCCAGATAAATCTGGAAATATAGATAAGGAGAATAAGAGGAAGTATGTTAGGTTTAAGCTCTTCTTAGAGTCATCTGGCTACTGAGCTCATGCTGTGCTCTACTAGACCAGTCTGCCTGGTTGTCCTGTCCCCAGGGAAATCTCACCATCCTTTAGTGGCAAACTTGAGGGCCACCTTGTACTCATCTGTAAAGTTTTCCATGATCTCCTAAACTGGAAGTAAAATCTGCCTCCCCTCAAACATCCCTCCATTGTGCTGTACTGGTATCACATACATGGCGCTTAGAACACTGATGGTATACTGAGTACATGCACGTGTCATCCCTCTCACTAGAGTGTAAGCTCCTTGAGGCACCTTTGTATCCCAGCACCTAACGCAGTACTGGGTGCTGGATCATTCTTTAATATCATGTTTGTTACATTGAAATAAGCTATTAGAGGCCAGAGACCATTACTTAATGCGTTATAGTGAAAAGAAAACTGGACTGGAAATTGGGAAACTTGGGGTCTAGTTTCAAATGTAGCATTAACTGGCTTATATAGCTTTGAACTTGCCACTTATCTTAGGTAAGTGACATTTGTAGAATGACAAGGTGAGATTGAGGGGTCTTTTTTCTGTAACAGGCCAGATAATTAATATCTTAAGCTTTGAGTGCCACATATAGTCTCTGCTATCTATGGTCTCTGTCACATATTCTTCTTTGTTTTTGTTTTTATAAGTCTTTAAAAATATAAAAACCGTTTGTAGACCTGGGCTGATTGTGGCCTGAGGACCAAAGTCAGCATGGCATTTTGTGATTCTGTGAAATAGAAGGCAAACAGAATAGCTCGTGAGCATCAGTTATTCAGCATTTGATGCCCAATTTTCTAGCCTGAAGCCCAAAGGCTGAAATGATGTATATCTACTTAGGGATACCTCCTTGAGTATACACTGAAGTGGAAAGAATTTAATTCTATTATGTAGGAAGGGCTAGAGGACTTTTCTTCCCTGTGCTGTGCCCAAGAGTAACTTGTTTTGCTCAGTGGAGACTGGAGTTGATAAATTGAGTTGGTCAGCCATCATAGATTCTAAGCCAATTCTGGGAACTGTCCTCTCTCATCAAATTCAGACTTTACTCTGAAGATTTGAATTGTGAGTCATGTCATGACAGATAAAAGCCTCGACACCAAGCTGGCATTGCTTTCATAAGCCTTCTCTACCTTCAGCATGCCCAGAGGAAAAGGATTTGGTTTTACCATTGCTGTCTTGCTGGTTTGCATTTCACCCATGCTCTTGGATTTTTTTCTTATTTAAGGTTTCCATTTTTATGGGATTCTTCATAATTTATGTTCAAATTGGTGTTCATATTTTCAACTATTTAGCTTATGGATTTGTTAAATTGGAAATCCCCCAGGAAACATTTCCTAGTGTGACTGAGCTTTACACTCCTGAATACACTCCTGAATACAGTAGCAGACTGACACTATACATTTTATATTATGGTACCTATGTATAGAAACTAGCCTGACCCTACAAAAAAGACCTTTATATTTTGTAGGTAAAAACTACCTGATCATAGAAAATTGACAGAGCTTATGAAAAATAAGGTTAATTTAGATTTAGCTGCTAATATATAGATAACTTGGTCTATTTGCAAATAATATACCCTCTCCTCACTTATCAACTGTCTCATCTGACATTTCACATTTATGACAATAGTAAAAAATCTACTATCCAACTATTTTTCCCATTAACAATGTATGTCTGGCAGTAACTAACACCTAGATGCAAAGCAAGAGCAATGCTGGCTGTTAAGGTTATGTGTCAACTTGACTAGGCCATGATTCCTAGTGGTTTGGCAGTTATGTAATGATGTAATTTGTCAGTTATGTAATGATATAGTCATTTTGTGATCTGATGTGGTCATTCTCCATTTTTGCATAATGCCAATTTTTGCATAATGACCTGGTCTTTGGAACCTAACCATTGTTGATAAGAAAGGAGAAAGTGTAGTCTCTATATAGGGCTTAATCTAAAGTGACTTGAGATAGGCTTCAGGAAGTTCTTGCAAAAGGAAGTCTGAAATGCTGAGCACTATTAATCATTTTATTAAATTTTTGGGTTCATGACTTTAAGCAATCCTGTCTTCTCACAGAACAGCCCTGAGTCATTTAAAATTTGTACTACATTAAGAGAAGAAGCCCTAATTAAAGGAGACGTTCTCTCCAGGAGAGCATCCTGTTTCGCTGTGGCATTAGCTCTGAATCAGGTAACTGTTTGGGTACACATGATTGGACAGGACTGTACTGCTTTCATTTGTTCTTGCTTTTATTATTTTTCCTTCTGACTTGAAGAAAAACTTGCCATGGAGAGACCAGTGCCTTTGATGTCATGGCAACCTACATCTATCCTTAAGCCTCCAAAGAATGCCTCCATATCTGGTTGAGGACCTAACATATTTTTCTATTTAGAAGGGGTAGGATAAGATACTAAGTAGAACTGTGAGAGAAATTTCTCAAGTAACCAAACTGAAAATTGCAGATGATCAGTTTAATATTAATGTTTTTGGAGAGCAATATAATATGAATGCTCTCCAAAGCTGAATTCCCCTCAGATGGATTAGTACTACTGGATCACCCCATTTTAGAAATGGGGTCTATCATGCTTCCATTAACTAGACCTGTGGTAGTTAACTTTGCGTGTCAACTTGGCTAGGCCTGGTTGAGTGGCTGGGCAGCTGGAAGTAGTATTCCCCCATGATGAGACTGGTAATCAATTCCATGGTGGAATCTACTGTGAGAAGCTGAGTAGCTGCCTTAGGGATGTGGTCTGCTTCCTGTAGATAAGAGAAGCCTTGGGCAACAGTCTCTAGCTTATGGCATGCTTGAACCCTGCATGTAGCCGTGTCGTTGTTCAGCAGTCTGCCATGCTTTGCCGACTTTGGGATTTTCAGTGGGCTTGAATTAATGGCCTACCATGTGGTTTGGTAACATTGGGACTGTGCCTTTTTACTTGTCAACCTTGGACTTGTCAGTCTTAGCAGCCAGTAGTTGTCTGAGTGAAGAAAAGCCTCCAGCTTCAGTGGGCCAGGAGCAGGAGACAGAGCTGAAGCCCAACGTTGAGGGGCTTTCACCCAGCCCCTAGAGCCTGGCACTTTGAACTCAGACTTAAAGCCTCCAAAACTGTAAGAGAATAAACTCCTGTTTCTTCAAGCCATCCCATTTGTGGTATATTCTTGTCAGAGCGGCACTAGAGGTAACCAAAACAAGACCCAAATACTCTTATTTGGAAGAAGCCTTAATGATCATTTAGCCTAATCCCTCTCACTGGCCAGATTGAGGCATCTGAAGTCCAGAGAGAAGAGAGGAGGTCTTCCTTGAGGACACACCTCAGTGAAGGACAGTGTGAGAGCCACAACACTCGAACACCCCTTCCTTGGAGAGACTCTGCTCAGAGCTGCCCTTTCCGAGGCCTAAGAAAATGTGAAAGACTTCACATGCTGCATTGTTAATGTTTTGGCAATGCTTCTTGCTCTTCTCTGGTTGGAGGTTTTTAGTCATGTCAAACACAGGGTTTACATTTCTACTTCTCATTCTTGATTTGCTTGTTTATTTGTTTTTTGAGCTGATTCCAATGGGAAAAAGAGAAATGCCAACTTTATGCCTTTATCTTAAAAACTGGACTCAGGCAGGTTCTTAAAACATACAATTATATGCCCTCGGGTGAAACGTTTTATGGAATGTTCATTTTGAAATACCAAGAAAACATCATTTTCTTTGTGAACTTCAGCCTCCTAGGGACCCATGAACAGGAATTTCCTGACTTCTTTCTGGGATCCTTATAATAGCAGACTAATGTTCATGTGATTTAGGCTATGACTTTTTTTTCCCTTCCAGAACCAAGTGGCAAAAGCTATGTCCATTTTTTCTCGAATCATGAATCCAGAAAGCATAACCTGCATTAATTTAAATGTAAGTAACTTTTTTATGGTTTAAACTAAGGTTTGAAATGTAATAAAATGATAACTAGACTTTTTGTCTGGGTGAGCAGTGAGTTTTGATCTCTCAAGGTCTTCATTCAGTTTGAATGAGCTCCTCTATGTGAAAGTTACATTGTAGGCTCTGTGAGTAGAATCAGTGCAACTTATGCTTCCAGGATTTATAAATTGATGGAAAAGGTCGATATGTTCAGATCTCGGACATGGCTAAATATATATATGTTTAAATAGAGCTACAGAGAGCTGGAAATGTAGAGGCAGAGGAGACAATGGAGGTGGACTCTCCGGTCTCTTTACTGGACCTTGAGAGAAAGCTGTGTACTCGTTGTATGCCACTGCCATCACCTAACTCACAGGTCATTGAGATTAATGAGTCAATATGCCTCAGGTGCATAAGGTAGAGCCTGACACATGGTAAGCTCTCAAGAAGTATTAGAGCTATTTTTAATCCTTACTTTGTTCCTACTCTACCATGGTCTTTCTGCTCCATTGACTGAGAGCTTATCTGAGCCACCTGTGTCACTTGTTTGGGGCCTTGTTTTCTGGGTCAGCAAGGGAGCTGCACTCAAACAGATAAGACATGCAAAACCTTAATCTCTAAAACTATAAACAACAAAAAAAAAATGAAAAATTCCTTACAGAGTCACGGGATTTATCCTAATAAAGTTCAGAGCATATGCTATTACCACTCCCAGTTTTTGAGCAGTAACCTGTGCTTTCCTAGACTGATAAAAAAAAAAAGACTGTCTTTTCATTAAAGACACCACAGCTGCCACTCAGCCACCCCCAATTCAGGCTCTGCTTGTTGTGGAGGGTTACAGAAGCAAAGCCCCTAACTTTTAAGAACTTGCAGTTTCCTGAAACTGACAAGAGATCAAGATGAAGAAAACACTTCCAAAAGAGCAGAATTGTATAAACATCAGCGTGAGGTGAACTAGGAGAGTAGGTCACAGCTGATGCAGTATTTCAGGGATGGGAATGAAGGGAAAGACGGAGCTGGTCAGCAGGAGTAAATGGAGGAGATCTTAGGGAGGAAATCACTGTTGTGCAGAGTTCTGAAGGATGATAGGGCTGTGAGAGATGGGATGGAGGTGAGAGGGCATTTTTGAGGGATTGATTTTGGTGAAGGTTCAGTTTAAAGTTCTATTGAATGTAAGCTCTTAATCTTAACCACTTCTTACTAGCTCTGTATCCTTAGGCAAGTTGCTTACCTAACCTCTATTGACCTTAGTTTCCTTTTATCTGAAACAGTGGTAGAAATAGAACTGTACTCATTCTTTTGTTGTGAGAATTGAAAGAAACAATACATATGAAGTAGTTAGCACAGTACCTGGTATGTAGTCAAGGTTCAAAGAAAGCTTGCTAGCACTCATCGTATTTGTTTGAAATGAGGTGTGTTAAGTGAAAATTAATAGTCATTTGTAACAAATCCTAGAATCCGGTGAAATAGAAATTAGGTGTATCTCCAAGCTTCTGAAAAAGAATAGTAACACATAAAAGATAATGATGATTTTCAGTTCTGCCCATAGTGGTTATCCTCAAATGTCACCCCCAGACCAATGCTCAGCGGACAATAAGAGAGAAAGGTATAGAACTAGGAACTTTTAAGAGAAGGACTAGGTAAGGCTTTTAGGTAAACTTTGGAGAACAAAGTTGGGCAGGTAATCTGAGATCAGAAAACCTTATATTTGACCTAACATTTACTTTTCAAAATGCTTTCACATGAGGAGAAGAGGAACCAAGGGAACTAAGATGGAAACAGTGATAACAGACCTCCTAGAAAAAAAAGATATAGACTAGAAGGGAAAGATCCTAAACTTTATTGTACACTCAACACTAGAAAAATATCCAAAAGAGATTTTGCAGTTTGCAAAGGGCATGGCCTGCATGGGGAGAGTGTCAGAGCTGTCAGTTAAGACCTCATCTGTGTAAAGCTTGGAATGAATCTGATATGAGCTGATGAATGCTGCAAAGAAAGGAGTGTAAGACGACCCAAGAATGAACATAGAAGGCATTAATGGGGAGGTAGAGGAAGCAAGAAGAATAGACAGGGAAAGAGCAGCACCAGTGGATAGGCATTGAGAGGGCTGCCGGCCTTACCTGTCATAGCTGCCGCGGAAAGCTACTGTTCTGAGTCTGAAGGACCTGGCACCATGCAGGCAGAAGGGATTAGGCAGAAACTGCATATCAGAGCAGGTGGGTCAGCACAAAGACTCTCAGGCTAACTCAGATCTGGGAGCCCAGGGTCCAGAAGTTCAGGTCATTTAAGTCAGTGATACTGGTAAACTGAACAGAATAGTAAGCCTGGTCTTATGGTAGACACCATATGGCTTTTGTCTTCTCTGCTTCCTATTAGATATAACTGCTCTGGGTATATAAATGCTTGAGAGGGGGAAGAAAAAGGAGGGAGGAGAGAGAAGAGGAAGGGGGGAGGAGGGGAAGAGAAAAGGAAGGGGAGAGAGGGGAGAGGGAGTAGCCTGCCTGCATCAGTTTCATGATTGGACAGAAGTAGAATTGGTGGGATTAGCAAGAGGTTCTTCTACTAAAGGAGCCCTGGTGGCTAAGCCCTCAGCTGCTAACCAAAAGGTTGGCGGTTCCAACCTACCAACCACTCTGCAGGAGAAAGATGAGGCAGTCTGCTCTCATAAAGATTACAGCCCTGGAAACGCTATGGGGCAGTTCTATTGTGTTCTGTAGGGTCACTATGAGTCACAGTCTATTCATCGGCCATGGGTTTTTGTTTTTCTTCCACTAAAGCTATCCAAGGGGTTCATTACATCATGTAGGAAAGAAATATGAGTGTGGTGAGAGATGTTTTATGTAGAATCATTAGTAGCCTTTCCTAGACTTGAAGTGAAGTCTTAAGGAGGGATCAATAAGGATTGGTGGTGAAATATTGAAGAGAGTTAAGATAGGTGGGATTTTAATTAAGCATTTAACTAAGGTACAGCACTAGGTACTTAACAATGGCTAGGTCATTTTATAAAACCCTGTCAGACTATTTCTCTACCTCATAGATGTGGAAAACTTAGGTTCAAAGGGTAAGCAAGTGACTCATGCTCTCATAGCTAATTAACGAGCAGAGTCAGATTGCTAACACAAACAAATCTGTTTGGCTCCAAATCCTAGGGATTTACCACCACTTCAGGTATGCAGATATGAGAAGCACTGTGCCTCCTCCATCCAAGACTGGAACTAGCTGCCCTTCCTGAATAATGAAAAGAATGCAGGACTGGATGTCAAAAAACATCATCTGTCCTTAATGCATGTATTCTACTTCCTTAGGCTAAAATTTCTCATCTATTTAAATCCTTGCCTACCTTTTACAGTTCCTGAGAGCATCTAGTAGGGATTCTTGTCAAATGAGGAAGCACTGTGTAGAGATAAAGTGGGACTGCTGAGAGTGACAGTGCCCTTGCACGGCAGGAGAATCCCAGAGGGGGTGGGAAGAGTGAGGTGGCGGCCTGGCAGGAGGACAGCTCCTCTCCTCTGAGAGCTGGAAAGGAAAGTCAGGAATAAGCATGTCGGAATGAGTATGTGTTGGGCAAGGACCAGGTAAGGAACTGTGCATTGATCTTGAATATGATTCAGCCTTTCCCTGAATTGGGTCACAGAATTATCCTCTGTCAGGAAACTTAGAGATAATTTTATCATTTAAAAATTCTCACTCTCAAGAAATTCTTCAGTTATCCAATCTAAATTTGTCATATTTCAATATAACCCTATTTCATCTTCCTCTGGGATGAAGAAAAAGAGATGATTGCCACTCTCAAGTTTAATAATCTTTCAGATTCTGGATGTCTGTTATTAGAGCAATTTTTATACATAAATGATTTAATGGAACCTCACTTCTCCAAGGCTGAGTCACCCACTTGGAATCCTTAAAGGCAATTTGTTAATTATCAGGAAATGGAAACCTGACAAAGAAGCGAGTAGACAGTCTGTTCTCTCAGTATTAGCAGCAATTAATAAAGTGTTTTTTTTGTGATCTACTTTAAAAATGAATGCCTCATACTAAAAGCTTTGGCTGCTGCCAATTGGAATTTGAACTTAACTAATTTTCCCCTTCTACTTAATTTTCTTTTCATCTAAATTGTTCCTGTGGCCAATGTGACCCAGAGGGCCTTATTTCCCATTTTCCCACCTAATAACTTGCTACATGCTGCCTTGATCTAGAAGCTGATCTCGTCCTGACATGCTCACGTCTACTCTGCCCTGTTAGTCTCAGTTTAAACCTATCAGTCTTGAAAGAATGCTGCTTAGTATCGAAAGATGAAAGCCCACTTTAAATCTGGCAGTAGCGGAGACTAGCACAGCTAAATTCCCACTGATCCTATTTGAACTTCGTCATTTCTATAGAAATCTGGCACATCTCCAGATGGAGAACCATTTTGAAATTGAATTTCTTCCACCCTTTCAGGGGAATTGACAAGTGGTTATTTTGCTACTTTTATTATCTATTTGTTAACACAGGTGAATATTTTAATGCTTCTTGTTCCTACTCACTAAGATCACCATAGCTCTGGTAGAGTAGTGCCTTAGGCACTTGACTGCTAACCAGAAGGCTGGTGGTTCAAATCCCCCAGCCACTCCTCAGAAGGAAGGTTGGGCAATCTACTTCCGTAGTGATACTGCCTCGGCAACCCAAGGAGTGGTCACTATGAGTTGGGTCCGACTCGACGGCACATAACAACAACAACAAGGTCACCATAAAGTTCTAGTTCATGCTGGGAGGTCTGCATTGCTGGCCAGGTAGGAAGAAGGAGACAAAGATCATTTCTCATAAATCCTTTTGTGACAGTGTTTCACCCATATGTATAAGAGTTACATTTGTTTGGGAGCAACATAGACAAAACAAAAACAAAAAAAAAGAGCCTGTATGAATTAGAGACTGTGCTTTTCTTCTGTGTAAACAACCAGTGGTGGTCAGTCCAGGTCTGGTGAGGCTTTCCATGATGTCTTCAGGGACACTGC